CCAGTGCAGTTATCAATGCAATTTTATGTTTCCTTTGAGGGGTGGGTCCCTCCCTCTGTGAAGGGGTGAATAGGAGGTGATCTGAACATCTACAGACTTCAAATTCTTACCTGTGTTTGTTGTGGGGCCTGGAATGTGGGAGGGCTTCTTCAGTATTCCTGTCTCAACCTCAGCAGGCCCTGTGCTACAGGGCCTCTCTCCACATTTTGATAAGTTGTGTTTTCATTTTTGTTCCTTCAAAGTATTTTCATTTTTCGTTCTGATTTTCTTTTTGACTCATGGATTAGTTAGAGGTAAGTTCCACATACGTGTGATTTTTTTTCCATATATTTTTGTTACTGAAGTCTAGTTTAATTCTGTTGTGATCAGGAAACATACTTTGTAAAAAAAAATCAAAATTGTACATTTTTGACATGTGATTGATCCTGATCATAGTATATGTTCCATTATGGTGAATGTTCCATGTGCTCTTGAAAAGAAGAGATATTTTGCTATTTGGTGGAATGTGCTATAAATGCTATTAGGTCAAATTTACTGATGGTGTTATTCAAGTCTTCTGGAGCTTTACTGATTTTCTGTCTACCTGTTGTTGAGAGAGCGGTATTAAAAGTCTCTAGCTGTAATTGTGAATTTTTCTGTTTTTCTTTTTCAGTTATAATAGGTTTTTGCTTTAATTATGTTGAATCTGTCTTACTGGGTACATACATTGAGCATTGTTATCTTCTACTAATGAATTGACCCTTTTATCTTTACATCATGTCTCTTTATGGTAATATTCCTTGCGGTGAAGTCTACTTTTTCTCCTATTAATATAACCACTCCAGTTTTATCTTATTGATTACATGGTATATCTTGTTTCCATCCCTTTATTTGTATCTTATTTATATCCAGAGTAGGCTTTTGTACTGAATATAGTTGGATCTTTTGTTAAAAACCAGTCCAACAATCTCTACCTTTTACTTGGATTGTTAGACCATTTACCTTTAATATCATTATCAGGAATGTAATTTTTGGTTT